GCAGACTTACTAAGTATGGTACCAAGATTACCCCTTAGATTTATCCAATTTTAGTAGATCCTATATCTACTAGAACTAGTTTGATGCCAGAAGTGTTTGAATTTTGGTAAGTCTATTCCTTTTTCATAGTTTTCTTTTATGTTTACCATATCACCCACTAGTGCACCTTCTCTTCATTTCTGATATGTTCATCACTTCTCTCACATCGAGCACCAACTCTTCATATTAGGAATCTTTTTTTCAGAAACTTTCTTATATACCGATCTTCTAATTACATAGACTTAGTCACAGGGCTTTATGTACATTCATATGCTTCTATAGATTACAGAGTTGCCTCTAGCTGAGATTGAACCATCGACCTTGTCTATGGAGGGAGGGGCGCCTAAACCACTAGGCTACGGGACCCCATTCCTATTTTATGTAACTATTGAGTATAAACTTCTTGCATTATATATATAAAAGAATTTTAATATAAAAATTTATAAAAATTTGACTTGTGGTATTATTAGAATTAATATTAATAAGAATTATCTATCTTACTAATTTTTTTGCCAAGTTAAAAAAAATAAAAAAAATTTATTATTTATAAACTATTGATTATAATAATCTATAAGTATCATATTAGCAATAGGTTAATATTATTTTTATTATATTATAAATTATATAAACATATCGATATATTTTAAAATTACTCAAACATCTAATTAAGTAATTTGTTAATCTAAATCAACAATATTATAGTTTAACAGTGATAACAAGACCTGCAAATTTTGAAGTGTATTTTTAAAAACTTTGCCGAAGGTATCACCTATAATAGATTTAAACCTTACTACGATTTAGACAACAGTCCACTATAATATAATAGCTTAATTACAGATCAATTATAAAATTTCTAGGCAAATTTGCCGCAAGGTAAGGAATAATACTTTGTTGCTAAAAGTGATTGTTACCCTAGATTGATTAGATCTTGATAATTTTTGAAATATCGATATACGTACTGCATATCAGTATAATTTTGTAAGGATGAACTTGCATTTTTTTCTTAATAAAATTAGAATTTTAGGGTAAAATTTCTTTTATATGAAATCTAATACTAATACTAACGCTAAAATTCAATCTGTTTACGTAACGTTTATACGTATTTAACGTTAAATATGAGAATACAAATTTTAGCAATACCATAAGCTGCTACAATTTTTTTTGAATCCATAAATTTATACTGAAACATAAAAATGATAATCAAAAATATTTTTTGATGTATTTTTGATTTACATAAGATACTGAATATGACAAATAGATAACCATCTAAGTGTTATTTGATTCCAGGGGGTGTCGAAATTGAAATTTTGAGTTTCTATTTAACCTCCTAAAACCCACTTATACTTGTCTAATATAAATTCTACACCTCTGACGCTAAAAAAATGCACTCTAAAATTTCGGTGGCTTGTCTATTTTACACTATACAAAATTTCATTTCAATCCGTCACATTAAATAAAGTCCTGTACTATTTAACAATTATATTTATAACAAGTCAGAATATTGAAGCAATAAATTTACCTGATCAACTTGTAAAGGCAAGACCTTTCAGAGTACGAAACCGAAGGGGAATGTACCCTTTCTGAATAACATGCCTTCAAATAACTGGTGTATGTACAGATGATCCTGAATAGTATCCAGACCTTGATTCTATATATAGCAAATATAGTAAGGATACTATGACTATTAAAATGTAGTAATTGCCAAATAGGAATTAAAGCGGTAATGTGGTCTAGTCAAATGGTTTGGCCTATTAACTAAAATTAGGGCAGTTACATGTGTTATACGTATATATATAGTATGTAACTATATCAAATATATACTGTAGATCAAACCGGTAAAAACCAGTGATTGTTTGAGGTTAGCGTTAAGAAAAAAACCCCGTTATAATCAACACCCTCTAAATGCAACATAAAATATCCGCATTTAGGGAGAACAAAATTCAATGATTCTTATGTACTTGGAACCAAAAAAGCTTGAATTTAGTGAACTTAACTTGGTGTATACGAGATTCAGGGTCTACTATAATTGGGGACACTTATGTGGTAATTCGGCAAATTACGGTTTTTTTTTATTTATAAAATATTTGTTGTCATAATTGTTATAAATTTTTATGTACATACTTAATTGACCATGGTTAACTGGTTAGACCAGTAATAATCTTCAGTATCGCGTATGATGTTGTGTGTCAAAAATTAAAATTAGGAATTGAATGGACGCCAGTGAATTAATAAATATTATATAGCAGATAATCAAACCCCCCAAGTGTCCATGAGGCTTAAACAATCACATTTTACTTCATTTTGTTTTTTTAATATTGTGTATTTCATCAACTTTCTCGGGCAAAGTAAAGCATGATTTCTCCCGCAACAACTGAGCCTGTCGAGATTAAAAATCGTGATAAAACACCAAGTAATAACGATAACGTTCCTGATACAAATAGAATTAATAATATAAACCGACTTATTTCTCCCCCACAAGGGCAAAATATTCAATTATCGAAATCTCAACCTAGCATTCAGAATAAACCTGGTTCTTCACCTGATACTAGGTTCCATTTAAGTGCTTCTGGTGGTTATGGAAGGTCTTTCGGTTCTTTGGAACCTAATGTAGAGGCCGTTCCCATCGACATTCCTGATGAAAGAAAGGTAGAGATAGTCAGAAAGCACCTCGTCACCGAGGAAGATTTTGCTCGTAGCGCCGAGAATAGCGGCAATTCGACAGATCCACTTGCACTTTACTCAACATCTCATCATAAGTTGCGTGGATTAGATGCAACACACGAGGTTTATAAATGGCATAACAATATAGAAATTGAGCCTATGAAACGTACTCGTTCTCGTTCTTTGTATATACCACGACCAACTGATCCAGATATGTCTAATATCAGGGAACCAGGCGGATTTCGTCGTCATCATATGATGATGAAGGCAAGGCAGGAAGGCAAAGAACTACCTAACATTATAACCCGAAACTTTATCGATTTCCTTGCAATGTACGGCCATTTTGCCGGTGAAGATTTGTCGGATGATGAAGATGATGAAAAAGATGAAGATATTGTTATTACAGAGATGACTCCGTTGCTTCAAAGAGATATTCAAACTCATGCCACTTCGTCACCTTCGAAAGCTGTATTTTTACTTTTGAAATCATTTGTTGGCACCGGTGTTATGTTCTTACCAAAGGCGTATGTTTTATGTTTAATACGCTAAGGTTTTTTTTTTCCTGATAATGTAATTTGTACCAATTTTTACATAATTAAATTAATTAGGTTCTATAATGGTGGCATGCTTTTTTCAACAATAGTCTTAATTGCAATCGCTGCGATATCATTATGCACGTTTTTATTACTTGTTGAAACACGGGCTTATGTCCCATATAGTTTTGGTGGTATGTATCAAATCTAAAATAATATAATTTACAAAGATTTATCGCTAACTAATTTAATTACTAGATATCGGTGGTGCATTATATGGTCGTTGGATGAGACTTGCTGTTCTATTCTCAATAACAATTTCTCAGGTACAAATTTATTATTAATTTCTTCATTTTTGAAACTTCAATATATACGTTTATTGTCTTTTTATATAGATCGGATTTGTTTGTGCGTACATGATCTTTGTTGCCGAAAATCTCTCTTCGGTTACTAGTTATTTTGTAGATATTAAAGATATGGATATAGCTTGGTTTATTGTGGTACAATTGTTTGTTTTCGCACCACTCGCCATGATTCGTCGTATATCCAGATTATCGTTTACAGCATTGATTGCAGATGCTTTTATTATGTTTGGACTATTATATTTATATTATTATGATATTTATCGATTATCAACAAGTGGCGTCGGTAAAATCGCATCATTTAATCCAGCAGATTTCGCTTTGTTTATTGGCACAGCTGTTTTCACTTTTGAAGGGATTGGTCTAGTGAGTGTTAACAATATTATCAATATACCTTTTTCCTCTTATAAAGAATCCTTATTTTTACATTATTTCAAAGATCATTCCGATAACAGAATCTATGAAAGAACCCGAAAAATTCCCAAAAGTTTTAACTGGTGTCATGATCTTCATTACTATCATTTTCACATCAATTGGTGTTTTATCTTATGCCGCATTTGGTGAAGAGGTGCAAACTGTAGTTATTCTAAATTTACCTCCAAATGAACCCATTGTTCGAATTGTTCAATTACTCTATGCTTTGGCTATTCTACTTTCTGTGCCTTTACAATTGTTTCCGGCCATAAGGATCATGGAACAAGGTATATTTGAAAGAAGTGGCAAAGATAACCTTTTGGTAAAATGGCAAAAGAATTTGTTCCGATTTTTAACCGTAGTGGCTTGTGGATTAATTGCATGGGGAGGTGCATCGGATTTAGACAAATTTGTTTCATTAATTGGATCATTTGCATGGTAAATATATATCTCTATTTTTTTTTTTAAAATAACAACCTTCATATATTATCGATATGCAATTATATTTATATACTTTTGTCTATTCTAGTGTACCTCTATGTTTCTTATATCCCCCCCTTTTCCATTTAAAAGCAGCCGCACACACTTTAAGTGCGAAATTACTTGATGTGATTGTATTTTTATTTGGACTTTTTTCATTGATTTACACAACCTACATAACTCTTTATAAATGGAGTGGAAATTCTTGAAATCATAGACAATATGTCGTGTGCATTTATAGTCAAAACATAAGTTTAAATTATTAAAAGATATAATCTTATACAAACTGATGAAATTTTATAACTACATATATATTCCAATAAACTCTAGACTAATAAAATGTGTTTGTTCCTACGTTAAATCGTCATTTATAAATTACATATAAGATCACGTTGCTAACACGAATTTAAACAATCAAATTGATATCCTCTATTATATATATATGTTATCAAAAATTTTTAGAGCTAACCACAGACATAATACGGTTACATAGTAGAACGAAGTGCATTAAATTTAAAGAACTTATACGTATAAAAGGAAGACATAATAGCGGAAAGAAAATAAATTGATTTTTTTTTATATTATTTTATGCCGCAAGTCGAATCGGAAGGAAATTTCCGATGATGGCAGACTATTCAATGCATTAAATAAATATACATGTAAAAAAAAAAAAAAAAAACCTCGCAAAATAAAAAAACAAAAAAAACAACATACCGGTCTACACGATCAAAGTATCAATAAAGAACGAAAATATTAATATTAAAACGCATTACAAATTAAGTAATGATATTACAGTACATACATGTTGTACTTATCACGGCGAATTGTGAATGAAAAGCAACACGATGTAACATTTTGAATATCTTGATCTGGTCCCTTCAACAAGCATGATGTCAATACAGCCTTTTGGCCTGCGTCAAAAGCTATATTTCCATATTTCTAATTACAATTGTACGATTTTTTTTTTTTTTTGTTTGAGAAAATATTTATTATATAATACAAACGTAGTAATAAATTCAAGATAACAGACCTCCCAATAATTTACAGCTGATTCTTCCATCATCAACTTTATCGAATGATAAAGAATACATATCAAGTTCTAGCTGCGATATATAAAATTGAATTATTAAAGTTTAGCCTACGTTAACACTCACCTCGTATATACACAGGCGTCCCTCTCTTAACATGTCTACATGCACACCTACAAGAGAAGCGAATTCTTTATTGCCCTTATATATCTCTCCTGTTCTGCGCCATAAACATGCCGGAATACCCATAGCGCTAAATACTCTATCGTAATCCTGGTATACATAATAAATAACAAGTCTAAGCAAGATCATAATTTGTCAAATTATCAATAACGCATATAAACTAATGATGTTTGTTCGAACCAATAAAAGACGTTCAAATACTCCTTCAACCACAACAAGATCAATATCCGTTAATGATAGTGCAACGTTACGGAAGGAAGGACGAAAAATACTTAGTGAATTCAAAATTCGTTGTCTACTTAGATTAGACATACTATCATATTTAAAGAGAATAGAAAAATTATTCTACAAATATTTAACCAACGAATAGGAAAATTAATTTAAAATTCTTACTGATTTTCCATATATTGTGCCAAGCGAGCGTAGCCATTAACATAATTATATGGTTTCAAGAATCCAGCTTCATACTTTGCGTTAATTACTTGGGTTAATCGGTCTTCTGATGTACCATCTGATGGATCTGCTGCGGTTAAAAGAAACTTTTCGGTGGTATCTACCGACGGACCGTTATTATTGTTCTGATTCTGTTGACTGCCATCCACACTCTCCAAAAAATTACTTTCCACAAAAGAATATTAAGTAAACATATTGTAGGTAATTTAAGCCGCGTCACTACCTTGTTAGGAACAAACCAATTGAATAAATGATGTAAAGTTTCTCCGTAGATCTTACGTAAGCACGGTGAATTCATGACCCGTATGTTCGCTGGCAAAAGTAAGGGGAGTAGGTAACGTCGAACACGCAAGTTGTGTGAAATCTTGAAAGTTGGGGTAATTAGGTGTCGTTCTCAAAACTAGAAAAGAATAGATAAGGAAAGTTAAACATGAACAAGAAATTTCAAATAATATCAACTAAATATATTTTCACCTTGAGGAACAGATTGCATTGTTATGAGATTAGCTGGCACAGCATTATTTCCGCCACCCACTTGTTGAGGACCGTGAGAACCTTTTGGCTCATCGTGACAAAGATGTCCTATGCTTCTCTTTATGCAACGTTGACAAGGACGACCTGATTTAGGGTCACAATTAAGCTCTGTTCTAAATGAAAGATAATTCAAATGTAGGGGAAATAAAATTACCATCGTCACACGTCATATGAGATCGCCTACAATATACACAGGCTACAAAATGCTTGGATTAATTAGTGAGCATGTAATGATTCCTAGACGAAACGATTCATAAGACGAGCTCAAATACCGTGAGTAACTTTTCTTCTTTTAGGACCAGCTCTCTTTTTCTTTGTATCAGCCTCCTTTGTTACTGGTGAGGTCTCACCGGATTGAGATTCATTCTCGATCTTTATCAACTGATTAGTAAAGTTTGCAGAGTCCAAGTGTTGAGATTGTGGTGAAGTGACGTGTTGTTGCTGGGAGCTATCCATTGGCAATTCTGACACTTCTTGGGAGTAATACTGTTGAGAAGGAAGGGATGTGTTGTTATTCATTAAAAAATTTACATAGAGAAAATGCTTAGAAATGCTTGGGGTAAACATCAGATCAACAGATCTGTGTCACTTGGTCAAGAGTTAGCCAATCAGAGCACTAAAACATGTCACATCGGTGATAATTCACCTGTTATCCTCAACCTTCAGAAACTTCATGGCCACTCAAGCATCTTTGTATGTTCCCGAAAATATCGTTCATAATGTCAAAACAATCACATTTATTCGTTCTTCCATGTCTGCAATTACCGGTTCAGCCGCTGGAATTTTAGGGTTAACCGGTTATTTTGGTTTTATCTTTTATGGTATCACCGCTTTGTTCACATCTTTTCTCATTTGGACTTTAAAAACACAAACAAAACCAGGGATATATTTTCGCAGTAGGACAGATGTTTGGACAGAAGGAGTGTTTGGTGGACTATTTTCTTATGTGCTATTTTGGACTCTGCTATACGGTATTGTGCACGGTGCGTATTTTATTAATCTTGTAGAAAGCATAATAATTTTTGCATTAATTGATAACTCATTATAATTTTGATAATTCGATATTTACAGTTTACGATTAGATATTAAAGCTCATTGAGTCTGACATATTTATAGGTGCAATATGTAGATTTAAAAAACGTTCAAAGGTTAGCATATTTACATTACTTTGTCGTGATTTAATACTACAGGACGAACATTTTTGTAAGAGTATTAAATGTTTATCTGACTGTTTAAACAGAATAAAACATGGTTATATATTTCTATGCGAAAGAAAGATTAAATAGAAAAGGTTCAAATTATATTAATAGTACTTAACATGATATACATTTTTATATTAATTTTATGATTAAAATTTATTTTTAATAATTTTTGATATAAAATTCAAATGTAATTTTTTTGTATATTTCATTTATAAAAAATTTAGCTGAGTTTTAATAAAGATAAAAGCATTATTTTGTCTTAATATAAAAGATGTTATATGATCTGGGTTTAAACTAATAAACTAGTAAAGTCTTAAATTGTGGATCTTAATAGACCAAATCATATGGGGTCTTTGCCTTGAAAATGACCTTATGGGATATAGTAATTACTATGTTCCATAGGGTCATTTTCAAGGCAAAGACCCCATATTTGAATTAAAATTAATTAAACTAAATCAAATTAATTGTTAATATTTATCTAATATAGACCGTATTATCACTTTTAAGATGTTATATTTTATAAAAAACTTATTAATAATATTAAATCTAATGAATGTTTTTTTTTAATGTTAAGGTGAGTACTTGTGATTCGAGATTTTATTGATAGTATGTTTTAGCTAATACGTAGCTGTTTGTACAACAACTACAGAGACAATTATAAAAAAAGTATACAACTAACCATTTGTATAACTTTAATTATTGTTTAATTTAAGTAGTTTTTTTTTTTTTTTTTTTTTAAATATTAACGGTGATTTAATTTAAGTAGTTTATTCAAAGATTCTATACTAGTTGTTATATCTAGAACCTATTTGTAGGTTTTCTATTTAAATACTCTAGTTTTGGTATTCATTATTTACTTACTTTACCAACTACCTTGATTAATGCCAGTATAAATATGTTATAGTTATGAAGTTTTTAAAGCAGTTTGCTTATATAACAAATTTTTAATTTTGCATTAAATTCATTAAAGGTTTTTGTATTTTATACTTACAGTTAATCTAGTATTACTTTGATCTAGACTAGTACTTGTAGTTAAGATTAATCATTAAACCATTATATTTTTGTAAAGTTTATCTGAATTCTGATTCAACATTTTTTTTATTTTTTTTCTCCTTTTAATGATCTTGTCAAGATTATTTTTATGTCTTATATTTTGAACTAATATTCTTAATATCTTTGGTCATTAGATTTCAACCTTTTCTAGTCTGTACTTTTGAACTTTCAAGAGTGATCCATCATACTAATCTCTGTTGAAATCAGAAGATTTTGTCAGGTTCTGTTTAGAATCAGCTATCATTATAAGTTCATGTAATATCTCTCATTATTAGACTTTCAGTCTTATATTACATTTTATAACTTTAGTTATTTCAAATCAGACTCTAATTTATGTTTATCGCTAGGTGGTTTCTCAATTGCAGATTACTTGCTTTTTCTAGAAATAAATTTGTCTAATAATGTCTTAAGTCCTTGGTGCTGCAGTGTTGCAGTTTTTTATTTTTAGAAATGCATTTCTACAATTGCTATTACTAGGATTTGAACTGGCAACCTTGCAATTTGTGACCTCAGAACATAACCACTATAATATTAACTTTAGAAATTATATTTTTTATTATCTTTTACTAACTACTATTTAGAATTAATAAAATTTTTTAGATTATTTTTTTTTTTTTTTTTTTTTTAACTTTAGCAGTTATATTAGTACTTTATTAGGATTCTTGAAACTATACAGATTATATAAAATTTTCCTGATATATAAGTTTAGCATTACTCAACCACCCAAATGGTATCTAAGTATAACCTGCTGTACTATTTCAGTTAAAAATAAACTGCTCATCTGATTGCTGTCTTACAATAGAACATCACTAATCTAATAACATCTTTTCATAGGAAAGCAAAAAAAAAAAAAAAAATTTTTATATAAAAAACAAAACAGAGATATAAAAGTAAATGATAAAAGATACAAATCAAAAAATAAAAAAAAATAAAAAAAAATAAAAAAAAAGGAAATGTGTGAAATTTACAATTCACAAATATCAGACAGTCACAATTGTATGCCTGTGTTGAGTCTTTAAAAATTATAAACTATACTAAATAGAAATAACTCTACTTTTTTTTTTTTTACTTAGATTATTTAACAAAAAACTATATAGAAAATAAAAAATCTTCAACTTGATTGTAAAGGGTCAGTATAGAGTATTAGTTAGTCTGAAGGCAGTATTTTCAGGTTTTTAGTATTTCAAGACATATGTATAATCATGTTTGTATTACTGTATTGTTTCTGATCTACATCATTAACAAACCCATTTAGAAAGTAAATACTACTGACTGTTTTGATAGTTTTATATATCAATCTTTAGGAGAGAATAAGCTAAATCACCTAGTTTTACAAAATTTCCTTGAAGCAAAGTAAAGACAAAAGGTAAACCAACTTTGTAGTTTTTGTGAGTTCTTGATCTTTATAAGTATTCATTATAGGTTTTACAATTGTATAAAATTAATATATTCAACTTTGTTGTTTACTTGATAAAAAACTTTGGCTTTTACCAACTACTTCTTCTATAGTCCTAAAATGTGTTTAAACTATCACTACAAAGTTGCAACTTCTTTTTTAACTCTATTTCAATATTCAACTATGCATGTACAGTACTCTGAAAAAGTTTTTATAAAGTTTAATATATTAACTATATTATTTTTCTGTAGTTCAGCTTTTTGAAAAGTTTGATTCAAATAATCATTAGAAAGAGTTCTATTTTTCAGATTACTAATTTAAATAACTTGATATTATATACTTATATATAACAATTTTAATAGCCTAATTGATATATATATTTTCTTATACACTTATTGTTTAGTTTATTTCTTGCTTTCTTTGAAGATGTTTTATAAACTTTCATTAATTTAACAGCATTGTCAAAATTCAAATTATTTTTTATTCAAATCTTTTAAGTAGACTTTTATCTTTTTAGTTACTATAATTTATATATAACAAAAACTTATTATAAGTTTATATTAACTAATATCAGTTTATATTCTTTTATATAATAATATACTATTGTTTAAATATTATATAATCTTACAATTATATTAGTATAATACAAATAATAAGTATTATTTAAAAAAAAAAAAAAAAAAAAAACAAATAATAAGTATCTTATTCTGACTAATAGTCAAAGACAGTTAATTATCATATAGTAAAAAATTTTAAATTTTTATTGATACTAGAATTTGAACTCTAAACCTGTTATTTAAAAAATGACAACATAACTACTTTACTATATTGTTATGCTTTTTAATATTATATTATTTAATAATATTGATAATATTTGAGAATAAAAATTTTATCTATTAATAAAAATTTTGGTAATATTTTATAATAGTGTTATAGAGTAAAAGCTTCTTATTTCTATACTATAACAATAATATAGCACATGGAATTCTTTATTGGTATATATAATGTCCAAGAAAGAAATATAGTTTCTGTTAGATATTATCAAGAAACTATACCCATCTCTGAGACAGTTTAATAATTATTACATAGTAGTTTATAGTTAAAATTATTTATTAAATAATTGTAAGAAGAATTATCTTTAGGCACTTGTCTTAAAAGATTTAGAATATAATTTACAGAATAAAAAAAAAAAAATTGTCTGTTTTTTGGAAACCTGATTGTTATTTTATTTAGAAAATTTTAAGGGTTTATATATTTGTAAGCTAAGTGACTAAGTAACTAAGTAACTAAGGGACTAAGCGATCAGTCTTACTAAGAGACTAAGCAACCAGTTTCACTAAGAACTAAGTAATCAGTTTTACTAAAGAACTAAGCAACCAGTTTTCTAAGGGACTAAGTGACTAGTATCACTAAGGAACTAAGTAACTAGTTTCATTAAAGGACTAAGTAATCAGTATTACAAGCTTAAGGCATTAAAATGTTTAAAGCATTAAAGCTACAATATTAATAAATAATACAATAATAAAAATTTATCCTATAACAATAGTAATTTTAATAAGAATAATAATTCTAATATAGTAATTGGATTGTTATCTTTTAAGTAATAAAAAATCTCATCTATAATAAAATTTAAAAATTATAATTATATTATAATAACTGTTTTCTGTCAATTGGTTAATTTCATATAGCTATAATTTAAATATACCAAGTTAGGTCCTACTTGATATTAGAAACTCAGATTATTTATATAAAGTGTAATATTATATATATATAAAGAAATGTTAATAACTAGGGTTGCATAAGACTTTAGTATAAACTTACAATAAGCTACTAGGTAAAGAAAACTAAGAAACTAAAGTAATGAAAACCTATTTAAAATTTTCTAAGTAAAGAGATAATATAGACTTTTGATAATATTATCAAACTAGTTGAAGCTTATAAAACATCTTTATAAGAACAGGTTGATAAACTGAACATCAAATATATATAAGAAAAAGCATATAACCAACCAGGCTACTGGACTTGTCAAAAAAAAAAAAGATACAGAAGTATATTATATTAGGTTATCTAAATTGATAGTTTGGCCAAAGTTTGCTAGTTCTGAGTTGCAGTTAGTAGAAGATAATAAAGAAAAGATGTTAAGAAGATGGATACTGAAGTTCTAGTAAACTTTATAAGAGTAAAAATAGTATAATGTAGCAGTTAAACAGATAACTTCTGTGACTGCAAATATTAAATAACTATAGTGTATTATATAAAATTAAGTTAGCTATATATAGAATATAGGTGTGGGTCCCATAGCTTAGCGGTTAAGCTCCCATACCCTCCACAGTCAAGGTCAACGGTTCAAGTCCGGCTGGAG